AAAAAAAAAAAAAAAAAAAAAAAAGAGGTGAGGAGAGAGAACAGAGGCAGGTTTGGGGCCTGATGCCAGGGCAGAAGAGACAGTCTTTGTGGGTACCCCCACAGGCCTCTAGCTATAGAAATGCAGTTAGGGGGTCTGAAGCAGAGAACGGACAGTCTTGTCAAGAAACTAGACGATGTGACTTGGCACTGCGTGCGCACCCAGAGACTGAAGTGGGCCTGGATGGTGAGTGGCAGGAGGGGGCCTCTAGTGAATGGGAGGCCCTGGCATCGCCAGCTGTTCCCCCACCCCCACCCCAGTTCTAGCCTTACCTGGGCAGGAAGAGCGGCCCCGTGCATACATAGACATTTTGGTAGGTGCGAGTCAGGCTGCGGCTGTACTTCTCCAGGTTGTTCCAGGCGTTCTGGTTGAGATGGGGCACCTGGTTGGAGAGGTGGGGCTCAGACAGACCGTCAGATGGGCAGGAACTGGCACCAAGCCAGGACAGTCCGATGGGGAGTGGGCTGGGCAAGCATGCTGAGGTAATGGGTTCAAGGAAGGAGAGTCGCCGTTAGGCCACCTGGCCGTGAGGGTGGAGCCAGACAGAGCTCGGGGGGTGCTAGCCCGCCCCCATCCAGAATGGGAGGACTGACATCCCAGGTTTCAAAACCGCTTCTCAGCTCCAAAGAGATGCACTAAGGAAAGGAGCACTTCTCCCTCTTCAGAGAGAGAAACAAGCCCCCCTCCCCCCCATCCCCCAGGCCTCATGGGAAGGCCAACTCTCCAGCCCTACCCTCTCCTTCCTGAACCGCGTGCAGAGCCCAGCTGGAAGTCATGTGTCTGCTCTTGACTCCCCACTCTTGAGCTCTCCAGTGTCTAGTCAAATGGGCAGGGAACTGAGACGCTGGAAGAGCAGAAGTCAGATGGGAGGTTCAGACCCCCTGGGCTTCACCCAGAGCCCCAGGTCGTCTCCAGGCCCTGCTTGAACAGGGCTTGAAATAGAGCACACAGTGAGTTACTTTCCTCTGACTCCTGGGAGGCAGGCAGGGTAGGGACAATGGCTGAAAGCTCAGGCTCCTCTAGACAGACTGCCTGGGTCACCTGCTGTGTGACAATGGGCCAGTCACTTTGCCTCTCTGTGCCTCAGTTCCCTCATTACAGCTAATATGCGCTGAAGGCATGCCATGGGCCAGGAAGAGTGCTCAGTACCCTCGTGTGCCCTGTCTTCGCTGCGAGGAAACCGAAGCTCAGGGAGGTGCCCAGAGGCCCACAGTTAAGGTCGGACTGCAGAGCGGGTGCTGGGTGGCTCCGTGCTCGGTGCCTCCCGCCAGGGGCGCGCGGGGTGAGCAGCCAGGCGCCTGACCCGCAGCGCGGGCGCTACCTGGGGCGCGACGTTACTCAGGTAGAAGGTGTCCTCCACGGCCTTCTGGCTCCAGCGGTGGTTGGCGGCGGCGGCGAGGTGGCCGCGGTCGAAGCCACTGCCGCGGTAGTCGGCGTTGGTGGCGCGGTGGTACGCGTGCACGGAGTCGTCCTCGCGGAAGTCGCACGAGCGGCGGTCGCCGTCGCCGCGGAGCCGCTCGGGCCGCAGCTGCTCGACCACCCAGAGCGCGCCGCGGGTGCGCGGGTCGTAGCACAGCACGTACGACTCGCGGCTCTTGAGCTGCGCCAGCCCCGGCAGCCCGTACTTGG